ACCTCTGTCGTAAAAAAAAAAGAACCCAAACTTCCAACCTCTTTCATCCTAAAAGCGTAAGAAAATGGCATTGCTTCTACACAGTTATACCTTTCTATTAATAATACAAGTAGTCCTCAACGTATGACCACAACTGAGCCCAGAATTTCTATTGTTAAGCGAGACATTTGTTAAGTGACTTTCCCCCCATTTTACCACCTTCCTTGCCCTAGTTGTTAAGTGAATCACTGTGGTGGATAAGTTAGCAACCCGGTTGTTAAGTGAATCTGCCTTCCCTCATTGACTTTGCTTGTCAGAAGGTCACAAAAGGGGACACACTGCGACCGTCATGAGTACAAGTCAGTTGCCAAGCATATTGAATTTTGATCATGTGATCCTGGGGATGCTGCAAAGGTTGTAACTGTGAACAATGGTCATAAATCACTTTTTTCAGTGCCGTTGTAACTATGAACGGTCACTACATGAACCAAATGAGGTAAGTCAAGGACTACCTCTTACTATCATATTAATTACACCTTGCTACATGCCTAAGCATCTTAAGTCCTTGCTGGAATTCTGCTCTTCTGTTCTTTTCTTAATAAATATTCCTCGTCCGAACTCTCAGCAATTTACCCAGTGGATTAACTGCCTCTAATCCAGGCTGATTATTAGGAAGTATATAGCACGGTGCTCTCCCTGCAGAACGTAGCTTTATGGATCTTTGGCTATTTTGGTACAGCCTTTGCCTTTAGCCATCAATACCTGTCCACGTGCAAGAAGATGGGATTTCAATTCTCAGTCATATAATATGCATGATCAAAAAGGGAGGCGCAGTCAGTCTCAGCTTGAATTATGTTGCTACAGAAGATTGTAGTAACAGTCAAGGCAAGAATGACGAACCGGGCTAATTTCGTGTTGAGCGTGTTTTCATGTTTTAAAATCCTAATATTTGCCTACTTCCTCATGCAGAAACGGGACAGATGGACTCATGGTTTATACAGTATACGTGACAGATACACTTCTTTTTGTTTAATCCTAATTAAGATGATACGAGGTTTAAATTTGAAATGTTCAGATTCCCGTCTTCAAGAATTACAGCTAATCAAACAAACTGATTCTTTTGAGTGATCTCTCAACCCCTTAAAAAGCGGTTGCAACTTGGGCTAGCGTGAAAGGCTAAGATTTTATTCTACATTGCATTCTCCTCTCAAACTTGTATTTCTCCATATCTAGGACGCATAGCAGTTGGGGAAATGATTATTTATTAATTATTATTTAGATGGGGGACATAGAGCTGGAGATTTGATAGAGTCATTCGCCAAAAGTGTGTAATTAATCTGGCAAGAATTTGGGGATGTAGACTCAAGGATACCATTGAATGAATGAATAAATGAATGAATGAATGAATGAATATTAAAAATAGAGATTTTTCTGCTACTGTTACAGAGAGAGATAGAGATGTAAAGATGGGTATAAATGAGTCTCTTGGTGTCACTTCCTGGGTGTTAATACATATTTCTTGGCTTTATCTTCAATGTCTGGAATCCATCAGAATCTCAAGAACTGTGAATTTTGCAGGCACAAGGGTTGGTTAAGGAACGATCCGGCCACATGGGAAGGAGAACCAACATCTAATTTGCAGCAATAGATTGTTGACATGTGTTGACTGTCAGCACTTGAATTCATTTTTGTTTTCTTTTTTGACAAGAGCACCAAGAAAATTGCCAAGCAATTTAGTCAATTTTTTTTTGTTCTGTACATAACAATTTTTCTTCCCCTGTTCCCCTCTTTCTTCTACCTTCATTAGAACTATTGAAGCTATATTATTCATTAACACAGCTGTATGCACATATCCTTCCTTGCCAATTAGTTCAGCACAATAAAGTCACATTAAAGAAGGCTATTAATGTGTGCAACTCCAAGCTGCTACTGCTAACCTGGCAGGAATGTTGGCTGTGGCCAGGTAGGAAAACCCAGGTCCTGCTAGATGGCACTATTTAATAAGTGGGACCCAGAGCATGCAACCCACCTATAACAGAATAACAGAGTTGAAAGGGACCTTGGAGATCTTCTAGTCCAACCCCCTACTCAAGCAGGAAACCCTATACCATTAAAAGACAAATGGATATCCAGTCTCTTCTTAAAAACCTCCAGTTATGGAGCACTCACAACTTCTGAAGGCATTCGTTCCACTGGTTCATTGTTCCCACTGTCAGGAAGTTTCTCCTTAGTTCTAGGTTGCTTCTCTCCATCCACGCCCACCCAGTAGGCTGCACCCACTCTGGCCACACCCACCCGGCCCCCCCAGGGCAACCCCAATGCTGATGTGGCCCTCAGTGAAATTGAGTTTGACACCCCTGGCCTATAGACTCCTTTTTTTTTTTCCCTTGCCCTCTCTCTGATGTGTTATAGCATATTTTAAACCTCTGGGTGTAGAAAGGAAGAAAGAGATGATCTCAGATATCTTGTGTAACTGCTTCTCTCTCTTTTTTTCTTCCTGGTGTACAAGGACCTGAGCAGCATTTGAACATGACAAATAATTAGAGGCTGTACGGGCGAGTGCCTTTTTCACATTGTGAATTCTAACGCGATCACAGAGGACAGGCTGTTGATGATGATGGACAAGAGGATTCCTTTCCTAATAGAGAATAGGAACAGCAAAACAAGACTGTGTTAGACCCTCTCTTCGGTTGACAATACTTGTAAATATTTGCTGTTCTTAAAGGCTGGGCCTTCTGCAACTCGAAATGTAGATGCCAATACTTAAAGGACTCATGCGTCTTTATCCAGAATGAGCAAAAGAGCACAAGAAGAACCTAAAGAGATCCCATCTAAGTCTTCTAGGTCTCACAGTGGCCAACCAAAGGGATCCATGAACCTCACAAGCATGGGCAAAAGAGCTGACATCATTTCCCACGATGACTCTCTAGCCATTGATATCTACGCTATGCAGCAAGGGTCTTCAAACTTGGCCCTTTTATGACTTGTGGACTTCAACTCCCAGAATTCCTCAGCCAGGCACACTGGCTGAGGAATTCTGGGAGTTGAAGTCCACAAGTCATGAAAGGGCCAAGTTTGAAGACCCTTGCTATACAGTCTATGATGTAGATTGCCTACAGCCTTGAGGAAGGGAGGACGAGGATCACAGTGGGTGGAATGGCGCTGCAAAGTGGGCAGGACCACCTCACACCCCTAGATGGATCTAAGCTCTTTTGAGTGATCAGGATTTGGGGAGGAGGCCTTTAAAAATAAAACTTTGGACGACGTAATGGTATAACTGTCACGTCTCCTCTCTGTTTGCTCCATTGGCTGATTTCATAGACACGTCCACGTCATTTCTTGGCAGGAAGATGAAAATGGTTTTCTATTGTCATCCACTGGGAGGCTTTTATTGATTAATTGTCATTAGCAAGATGGGAAAGCAGGATGAGACGCCCTGATTGATGGGGAGCCAGAACTCAGAGACCGTTGTCAATACATGGGCAGGACTGCAGTATGTCCAGACATTATAATGCACCCCCTTTCCGCAGCATCTGGGGATGGGCAAGGATGGCAGAAGAATGATAAAATTGGTACGGCAGCATCCCCATGCAAGCTCAGGCTTTTCTGCACAGGTAGCCCTTGAGTTGCAACCATTCCTTTAGCGGCTGTTCAAAGTTACAACAGCTCTGAAAAAAGTGACTTATGACCATTTTTCACACTTACGACCTTTGCAGCATCCCCATGGTCCCAGGATTAAAATTCAGATGCTCAGCAACGGGCTCATATTTATGATGGTTGCCGTGTCCCAGGATCATGTGATCATCCTTTGCGACCTTCTGACAAACAAGGTCCACTTAACAACCATGTTACTAACTTAACAACTGCAGTGATGTTGGGCTCGACTGTGGTCATAAGTCAAGGACTATGTGTCCTTCTGTTGCTTCCTTCGGATGAAGGCAGCAAACTCCTGCAGACCGCACCATCTTTTCGTATCAAGGGTTGACATTGTGGCCTCTAATGCGCTGTAGCATTTAAAATCCCTTTCCGATTAATTTCAAAGATCCGTCAAGTTTTGACATTTGAATGAGACTTTTCTGCCATTTTTCAAACGATCCTTACCCCATTTTTAATTACATCCTCCAGAATGTATATCTAGCCATTCAAGATATATATATATATATATATGTTACAACACAGCCAACCACCCAGGATGTTGCAACACAAAACTCAGGATATCACTACACTAGATCTCAGGATGTAATCACACAACCCATTACCCAGGTCGTTATAACACAAAAGACTAATGGGCACATAGCCAGCACCTCAACTACTCAGGATGTTACGAAACAGCCGAACAATCCGCAAACAATAACTCCCACACAGCCAACCAACCCACCTACAGCAACTAAGCCAGCACTCCACACACACACACACCAATATTTATAGAGAGACGGCAGCTCCAATCACACTTTGCTCGCACAAGCACGAAGCTTGTATATATATATTCCCCCTTGCAAGCCACTTCTACTTTGTAATATCCTTCCGATGCGGACCCCACAAAAATTAGGTGACGATCTCTTCTCTTCCTCCATCTCTCTTTAAATATTACGGGGTGAAATTGCAGAGCTGACTTTAAGGATGCAAGAGAGGGAGGGAAAAAAAATAGATTTAACTTTCTTTCTCCACCCTCTCCTAACTCCCCGACTTGTTTTCTTCCGTTTCTTGTCTCCTTTCATTTTCTTTGCAACTGCTTATTTAGTAATAGATTCTGTTTCCTGCTTCTTTTCTCTGTCTCGCCTTACTCGGCACAGGCACACCCGGCTCTCTGCTTCTCTTGTTGACAATTCCTCCTTCGGGGGGGGCATAAGCACTCGAGGCTCCACTGAGAGAGAGAAAAACACAGCCAAACTCAGGCACGCCCCGAGCAATCATTTCATTTTTATTTTATTTTTTTGGCTGTTTTCCTCGCGGGCTCCTAGGAAGAAGGTTTGAACGCAAAGGGTTCTACAGAAAGGGAGAACAGTAGAGTAGTTAGAGGTATGGCCAAGCTTTGTTCACAGTCAGCTTGTAAGCCAGGGACATCTTCTGGCTTGTAATCAGAGGTGGACGATATGACCCATTACCGTGCAAATTTTGCTAGGAACCTAGAGCTAAATTCATTACGCCCTTGTTAATCCAGTGGAATCAGTCTAGCTTAGAAGAAGACAAAAACATCTATTTTTTTTCGTTGTTGTTGTCTGATGAAGAGAACCATGTGATAAAACGAATTGCGTTGTTGGCAATGACTGCAAGGAAGATACGAAGGCACCTTCTGGCAAATAGTGCTGTTAATGTTAAAGCAGATGCATTGAAGTGATATGATTGCTGTACGCAACTTGCTAAAAGCTGTGGTTGCAAACAAATGTTTAAATACGATACAAAGAAGAGAACAAGCCCCGTTCCTTTCTAGCATTGATGATAGTACCTAGTTAGGTAATGAAACGTCTGCAAGTAGATAACCAAGTTCAGAGAGCACCAATAACCCCATAGTCCTCCACCTCCTCTTCTCCACAAACCCCACGTTCCCTCCTAGCACTGATGATGTTACCTAGTTAGGTATTGAAACGTCTGCAAGTAAACAACCAAGTTCAGAGAGCACCAATAACTCCATAGTCCTCCATCTCCTCTTCTCCACAAACCCCACTCCCTTCTAGCACTGATGATGTTACCCAGGCAGGTAATGGAAGGTCTGCAAGAAAACAGCCAAGCTCAGAGAGCACCAAGGACCTCACATTCCAATCCTGAGCTATAAGCATTATCTTCTAGTGATACTATACAATATAATAAAGAAAGGGAAAATGGCATAGTGAGTGGAGGAGTGCTCAAGTTCCTTTCACACAGGGCTTGAAACACAGGGACACCTTCTGGCTTATAATAATAATAATGAACAGGTTGGAGTCAGTTAAAGGACTGGGTTGTTTGGTGCTTATATCTCACCAGTTAAACAGTTAGACATGGAAAAATACGAATGACTATTTGCAATGGCCAAGTTAATAAGCTGGCCTGCAGTGTTAATCATAATTGTTTTTTGGGGAGGAGGTGCGTCCTTGGATTCTGGTTGAACTCCTATTTGTTTTCAGAAAGGTGACTTCTTCTATTTATTTTTTTTCCACAGACGCAACCCAGATGAATAATGTCATGCCGACATCACCTCTACTTCCACAACTGGCTCACCCACACTCTTTCCCAAGCATGGGACAGATTACAAATCCATATGAACAGCAGCCCCCAGGAAAGGAGCTGAATAAGTATGCATCCCTAAAAGCAGTAGGTAAGCACAGTAAAATGCCATTTTCTCTTGACTCAGCAGTTTCAAAATATCCCATTGATTTTTAATATTTATTCTGTTCCAGAAGAAATCTCAAGATAGATCAATTTTTGCAGGTTCAACGTTCATGGGAGTGGTGGATTACAGGCCACCCTCTTTTACTGACCAACAACCGGGAAGGGCAACTTGGCCATTAAGCAAAGCGATCACTAATTGCTTCCAAAGGTACTTTTCAAAAAAGCAACTGGATTTTCTTGGTTTTCTCTTTGAATATATTTGACTTCTGATCCAAGAGGTTTCTTCAGTTCACTTCAGAACTGAAGAGACTTCTTGGATAAGAAGCTAAATACTTTCACGAGGGAAAACACACACACAAGAAAGTCCAGTTGCCTGTTGAAAAGCACTTTTGGGACAACCAGGACCTGGATGATGTAGAATCTCCATAGACACAACTGTGCTTACGATCTGGTTGTAGCTTTCCTGTGCTTTACAGACCTGAGAAGGCCATAAATACAGTACAGGGATCGGTTGTAAAGTGATGATGTTACTTGGTTTAGATAATGAAACATCTGTAAGAAAACAGCCAAGCTCAGAGAGCACTAAGGACACTTCATTTCAACCCTGAACTGCAAATATTCTCTTTTAAAGTCACTTTTTCCATCACTGTTGAAACTGCAAACTAGCAAAATGACTAAATGAGTTGTTGCTTACCGTAGATGAGGATTGCCTTGTGCAGTTGACCAGAAACCTCAGGACCTTGGACAGCGCTAACGGGGGTTAATTGGTGTATGTGCTCACTAGTAGAGATGCTGTTTCAGCAAAAGTCTGGAAAAGAGAGATAGTTAGACTTTATTTGCCCAACGTGCTTGACTCAAACATAAGGTGGCATGTGTTTTGTAAACTCCAAAACCCAATTAATTCTGCCAGTCTCTCTCCAGTGAAATAGTTCTTGCTGTCTGGTGCCATACGAAGGTGACAAAGTAGCAGAAATGGACACGGGTGCCTAAGGCAATCCTCCGTAGTGTTTGCAATTCTAACTGAAGTAGGATTTTTAAATGATTTCCCCCCACTTTTGGAAAGAAAAGAAGTGGGCAGTGAAGCCCTATATTCCCCAGACTACCAGCAGCTGTGAGTACTAAAAATACAGTTATTGGCCAAACCCTCCCAGTTATCCTGGAATATCTCTTGCGAGTATAGGAAGGTTTTTTGACGAGGAGAGCCAGGAGCTGGCTGTGTAATGCAAACAGGCCCTAAGAAAACTGGAAAAATCTAATATTCTAATCATTTTACCCCTTCTAGAGGTGGACACAGCCCAGGATATCATTGTCCAGAATATATAAGCAGAGTCATTATTCCAGCAATGACTTTAAAACAAATAAAGCATTAAGAGAAACAGTTTGGGGTAATGGTCAAGGTGCTGGCCTAGAAGCCAGGAGAACATGAGTTCTAGACCTTCCTTAGGCATGGAAGCCAGCTAGGCGAATTTGGGCCAGTTTCTCTCAATTCTGTTGTTGTTGTGGGAAAAACAGGAAGCAGGGATACTAGGTATGTTCAGATTCATGAGTGGGGTTTGTGTGTGTAGATAGATAGATAGATAGATAGATAGATAGATAGATAGATNCGGCGGAACCGCGTTCCGGCACCTTTTTCCGGGCCGGCCGCACCGGAAATAGCCCCTCCCACACCGGAAATAGCCCCTCCCAAATTTTACTTGCATTCCTGTTCTCTAAAGGGGCGGTCCTAGGGTTTGATGAGGGCGTGGCCAGGTTTGAGTTCCGCCACCTTTTCTCCGAGAAAAAAAGCCCTGGATAGATAGATAGGAGAGAGATAGCGATAGAAAGAGAGAACCATCCTAATTGTGTGTTGATGATAGATGATAGATAATAGATAGATGGATGGATGGATGAAGAGAGAGAGAGAAGTCTCTTGAGTGTTTGTGTGTGTAGATAATGATGAAGAAAGAGAGAAAGAGAGGGAGGGAGGGAGGGAGGGAGGGAGAGAGAGAGAGAGAGAGAGAGAGAGAGAGAGAGAGAGAGAGAGAGAGAGAGATGCTGATAGATAAGCTGATAGATAAGCTGACAGGGCTTGCTATTCATATAACTCCTGCCTTTTGGGATGTTTTGGTTCTTAAAGAGTTATGTTAACTTCTATAATCCAAGACGCCAACAAATCTGTGCAGCAGGACAAGCTATGGGAAAATAATCCTGAAAGCAAGTCCAGAATTGAAGACTGGATTATGTATTCAGGCTATGAAAATGCTGAGCTGAGTAGAATACTAGGCTGAAACCATTAGGGTGCCCTGAATTCCGTTTTAGGCCCACCTCCCGTTTGATCCTGATAGGTGCGCATATTTCCATAGCTCTACCCATTGTAGGGTGAAAAAGCAAGGGAAGAGAAAAGAATGGAAAGTAGAAGTCAACTTGTCTCCCAGCCACATCTGGAGGATCCAGTGTCTCTACCTGATGTTTACAATTTGCTTGTCCAGCAAAAATTGGAAAGTGGGGGAGGGGGGAGGGAACCCTTAACCTTTAAGCAAATTAACCACCTCCATCCCTCAGGACTGGCACAGCCAGGCATCTAGGAGTATGCAAAGAGAAAGTATTGTGCCCAGCTAATCTCAGAGGAGTTACCAAAAGGAGGAGAGATTGTTGTTCATTAATGAGGAGGCTAAAAGCGGATAGAGCACCTGTTTCAGCTCCCAGAGGGCGGTCAGAGCTGAAAAGGCTATTGTGTGTCTCAGATTTAAATACCACAAGAGATTTTATACGGATACATTTCAAAGAACAAAAGCAGACCCCTTTCCCTCCCCAGGCCTGTAATTTCACCTTGTAATTAGCTGTAGCTCTAAGAATTCGTGAGAAATAACTCAAGGTCTTCCAGAAAGGCTAAGCCACTTTGTCCCCCCCACCCAGGGAGACATGAACATTCACTCTGCCTAACAGAACCTCAGGTTCACAACTTTTCATTTGCTTAAAACAAAGCAAGGGTGAGGTGAAGGGAGGACGCTGTGAAGACAGCCTAGGAAGTGTCTTATTGTGGGGTCCTTGGTGCTCTCTGAGCTTGGTTGCTTTGTTGCAGATGTTTCATTACGCAATGTTTCATTACGCAATGATGATTAGATAAATCATCAGTGTTAGAAGGGAGAGGGTTTGCTCTCTGTTTATGTACAAGCGACTTGCCCTATCAGTGTTGGTGGGAATGTTCTTGGTGGATTCTGGATTAGGAGATTGTTTACTATTTGATTGAGTGGTGATTCCTTGATTGAGGCTTTGTTGGGCTGTTGCTTGTGACTTGGTTGCATATAAACAGACAGCAAACCTCATTCCCTTCTAGCACTGATGATGTTACCTAGTTGGGTCATGAAACATCTACAAGAAAGCCAAGCTCAGAGAGCACCAAGGACCCCATAGTCGTCGTCCTCCTCCTCCTCTTCCTCCTCCTCCTCCTCCTCCTCCTCCCTGCAAACCCCACTCCCTTCTAGCACTGATGATGTTACCTAGTTAGATAATGAAATGTCTGCAAGTTCAGAGAGCACCAACGACCTGACAGTCCTCCTCCTCCTCCTCCCATAAACCCTACTCTCTTCTACCACAGATGATGTTACCTGGTTGAGCAATGAAACATCTGCAAGCACCCCACAGTTCATCCCTGGGCTACAAAGATTCTTTATCTTCCACGGTTGAATCCGTTCAACTGAGAAGTGAAGAACTAGTGTCGAAGGGTACCGTCTGGGGATTTCATTGTCTATCACTAAGAGAAGTTATTTTTCCTAGGAGTTGCTGACCTTTAGTTTAGTGGACCCACCATCCAAAGAAGCAGTACGCTATAGTCCTGCTCGGTGCATCCTAAATTTCCCACCCGCCAAACAGGTTGCTCACAACTTCCTGCCCTCCCCATTTCAGGATGTGCTCCACAAATGCCTTCCAAAGATCATGCTACTTCCTGTCGGTTGTGGATATGACTGAAGTCGGATAAATGTGTGTTTGCAAATGCTCTCGTGAACAATACGAATGCTTGTGGCTGCTTTGAAGATGCCACCATGGATGATGGGCCCATTAATTAGGGGAAATCTATTTGCTACCCAAGAGCAGCCTATTTGAACGCAGGATGTGTTTTTCTCTTAGTGCAAGGAAATTGCAATGTCTTGCAACCCCTTGACTTCTCCAGCACCGAAGGAAGACGAATAACTAATTGCACTACTCCCTTCTCCCAGTGAGATTGTTAAAAGAAAATAATAAGTCAAAAGCCTGCTTCTCAGGCTTGTCTTCGTGCTAGGGTACGGTGGTCTCTCGGGGGTTTCTGTAGCACTTTTATTATTCATGTGGAAAAACTGCTGAATGTGGAAAGATTCTCTCTCTCTTTTTTTCCCCTTTGATTAATCAAACTTGGGGCAGTTGGTTTTTTTTAACTCTCGTATTTAAACGGTCGCTGCTCATTCATGTGCCCGGGATGTGAGCAGAACAAAGCTGAATTCATTCATCACAGTTGGCTGGAGAAAGGAGTTCATTGCTGATAATTCTGAGGTCCAGGGCTGCATAAATATTTTCAACCTGGCTTGCTTTTGGTCATTCAGATAACTGTGATGTGGGTGGCGGAGGGGGCGTCTTTCCCAAAGATAGCAACAGCAATAGCATTTAGACTTATATGCCACTTCACAGTGCTTTACAGCCCTCTCTAAGCAGTTTACAGAGTCAGCCTGTTGCCCACAACAATCTGGGTCCTCATTTTACTGACCTTGGAAGGATGGAAGGCTGAGTCAGTGGCAATAGCAATAGTACTTAGAATTATATACCACTTCACAGCACTTTGCAGCCCTCTCTAAGCGGTTTACAGAGTCAGCCTGTTGCCCCCAACCATCTGGCTCCTCATTTTACTGACCTCAGAAGAATAGAAGGCTTGAGCTGGTGAGGATCGAACTCATGACAGTCGGCAGAGTTAACCTGCAATACTACATTCTAACCACTACGCCATCACAGCTCAAGATGCTTATCCCTTGCAAATAT